TCAAAATTAGGGTCCCTTTTAGGATCCCTTTTTATAAGGGTGCCGTACTTTCTAATTTAGAGGACTACTAGTACCTAGATCCAGGACCTTTTTTTTTGGCTTTAGGTTGGATACTGCCCGGGCAGTACCCAAGGTGTCGGGTTTATTGTTCCCAAACTCAGGGTTTAGGGTTTAGGGACCTTGCTTCACTCCAGCCATCAAAGGGTTCCTAAACCCGACTCCCAAAGTTCGGTTACTGTTTTGGGGCTCTAGAGCTTATCTCGGAAGGTTCTGTACAGGAATCTATAGCAAGTGTCCCCAGAGGACCCAACACCCCTTAATTAAGGAAAACCCTTAAATCATAATAGTAAGTCCCCTATAATTTAAGGTATATTCCTTAGTTAAGGTGTATTGGGTTCTCTGGGCCTATGAGTCTCTTGAGGCTTCTGGTGCAGGGTTCAGACTGCAAGCTGTATAGCAATGCTTCCTCAAGACCCATAAGCCCCACCTCCTAAGCCACTGTCTAGGGTTTAGGGTTTAGGGGTTTAGGGTTTCGGGCTTAGGCTTAATCACCAAAGCCTAGGACGACAGAAACAAGCCACGCGACCCCATTCAGATCCCCAGGCCGCGACCACCGGGCCGTGGCCAACACGTTGCTGAACCTGGGTGCGCCCCGATGTCACATCACGGAGGTTTAGGGTTCAGGGTTTAGGTTTGAAGTTTAGGTGTCCAGCGGCTCAGTGTTGTTTAGGGTTTCAGGCTGTGGATGGAGGATCAGGGGACTCACTTAGTAAATAAAGGTTGGAAGTACTTTAATTGGATGAGAAGCATAGGTACCGCGACTGTGTAACCTCTCTCTTGTTCAGTCGCATGATCCACTAACTAAGTAGGGTTCTGTGGTGCATGTTGTCCGAAACTTTTGATAGCAGCGGTCCTCCTTTCCGCTTAAACCCTGCGCCCTAAATCTTAAGCCTTCATATGGTGTCCATTGTAGTTCGTTTTTTGGTTGGTGTTCGGGTTACGCTGTAGGATCCTAAATATAAACTTGGTACAGCAAAAAAGCAGAATATCAACACTACTAGTAGCAGTAATACTCATAATCATCAAAAGAATAGTGATCTTAATCATAGTAGTTGTGATAGTATTAATATTAGCATGAATCATCTTTGAAAGATACAAATACCAATGATTAAAGATGCCAGTAGTTGTAGTACTAACATGAATCATATAACCTTAAAACCCTAAACCCGAAACCCTAAACCCTATCGTAATCCTAGCCCAGGACCCCCCCTGAAGAGGCATAACCCTAAGCCCTAGACCCTATCATAACCCTAAGCCCAAGCTCCCCCTGGGGAGGCAATGTCTACATTAATCATATAACCTTAAAACCCTAAGCCCTAAACCCATCAGAATCATAAATATCCCAAGCTTTTTCTGGAGAGGCAATGTCTACGGTTGTCTCGGCGACGTGAAGGCCAAGCGTGACCTCCTCGAGCGCGCCTTGACAATCAAGCCCGGGCCCCAAGACATCGGTCGAAGGAGTCCGGGATGTCGTGGAATTAGGGTACTTTTTTGGGGCTTTTTAGGGGTCCTTAAAGGGATCTAATAAGGGTTGCAGTTTCTATAAGGGGTACAATATGGGTATCGTTCGAAGGATTCCGGGATGTCGTGGGATTAGGGTTTAGGGGTTCAGGGGTTTAGGGGTTAGGGGTTTAGGGGTTTAGGGGTTTAGGGTTTAGGGGTTTAGGGTTTAGGGGTTTAGGGATGTGGGTAGTTGTCTAAGTTAAGGTCCCTTTTAGGGTCCTTGTTTATAAGGGTGCCGTACTTTATTGGGGACCCAAAAAGGGAGCCTAATTTAGAGAACTACCCATGTCGTGTTTCAAGCTGTCCTGGGGTATAACAAGGCTTCGGATTCCGGGCGAATCGAGGATTTAGGGTCAGGCAGTCGGAGATTTTGAGGTCCGGCAGTCGGAGCTCGGCTGTTTAATGAGCGCCGAGGACAATTTCATCAGCCTCGAAGAATTGAAGCTCTAAAGCCCTAAAGCACTATAAACCCTAGAAGCCCTAAAGCCCTAAACCCTCAACCCTAAACCCTAAACCCCCTTCCGTTTTGAGACTTGCTAGTCGGGCAGACATGCATGTGCTAGGAGCCTCCTTGCACCCTCAAATAGGGGTACATGGTCCCAAATCATGGGGTATTTATACCCTAAACCCTTAAAGCCCGGAAGCCCTAAACCGCTAAACCCCTAAACCCCTAAACCCTAAACCTTAAGCCCTAAACCCTAAACCCTAAACCTTAAGCCCTAAACCGAAAAGCCTAGGCCCGAGACTGCCCAAGCCCTTAAACCCACTGAAGTCCCAATGCAGCTCAGGCAGCGCGAGTTTGGAGCGGAGCACGCCGAGGTGGCCAAAGCGTTGGTCCGGGGCCTCGCCGTTGTTTAGGGTTTAGGGTTTGGGGTTTTTTGGGTTTGGGGTTTGGGGTTTTGGGGTCTGGGGTTTTTTGTGTCCAAGAAAGGATTTGGGGTTTAGGGGTTTAGGGCTTTAGGGCTTTAGGGGTTTAGGGTTTAAGTGTTTCGGGGTTTAGGGTTTAGGGGTTTAGGGTTTTGGGTTTAGGGGTGTTTGCTACGGGTTAGGGTTTCAGGGTCTCGGGTCTAGGGCGCAGGGTCACTGATGTTGCTTTAGGTCCGCAGCAACCTATGGCTTAGGTTTCGGTGGTAGTTGTTGTTTCTTTTGGGGCTTATAGTATATGGATCACCTGGCTTTTGCACCTTGTCTTTTGCTTGTTGCATTGGAAGTGTTCTGTTTCAGGTTTCCTAGATCCGGTTGGGTGTGATGAAAGAGCTGGAGGTCCAAGCATTTAGGCCTTTCCGTTGGTTGAGGTTTGGACATTTGGGGTTTGAGGGGATTGATCCTAAGGAGCATTTGAGCAATCGAGCTTGTGCAGATGATTGTATAGGGGACTCTACAGGTTCTGGTCGAGTGTGTCCATCGTTTGGATTTAGATTCAAGTTTAGCTTCATCAGTTTCAGGTCACCGGCTACTAGCAGCTTGGCGGTAGGTGCTTCGTCGTTCTTTTCGTGGTATATGCTCCTTGACTTGCACCGTGTAGACCAATACAGTAAAACATACCACGAAACCCCATTCTAATCATGAAGGCAGCCCCCCTATATCACAGAACCCTTGTAACAAAAACTAAGTAGCAGCCCTTATAGTTGTAGTCATTATTGCACCCTTTGGAGGGTCTTTAGAGGAACCCCACGCACACCCTGCCGGCTAAACCGAGGACCCTGAGCCCCATCCTTAAGGCACTAAGGCCCCCCTGCTTTAAGCCTTTGAATTTCATCGGAGGGCTCAGGGGTCTGGGATTTAGTGTTTAGGATGTAGGCTTGTGGTCTTAAGGTTTTTAGGGTTTAGGGCTGTGGCTTTAGTGTTTATGACTTAGGGTTTGGCCCTTTTGAAAGTCCTTCGCCCAGCAAGTTAGGTGAGACCTTAAGCCCTACAAGCCCTAAGCCCTACACTGCAACGCTTTAAATTTTAAGGCTTAAGGGTTTAGGGTTTAGGGTTTAGGATTTTAAGGTGTTTTTCAGCCTTCCGTTCAGGTGAGCCTGGGCAATGCCTATGGAGACCTCGGCAACGTGGATCATCAGAAGGAGCTCCTCGAGAAGGCCCTCTGCATCCAGGTGCCGGCCTCAGACGTCGAAGGGTTGGGGTTGCGGGTTTGGGGTTTAGGGTTTAGGGCTTACCTGGACCCCTGAAAAACCCACCTTTTTAAGGACTCATATAAAGAAAACATAATCAGGAACCCTAAACAGGTGGGTTATTTGTGGGGTTAAGGTAGGGTTTAGGGTTTAGGGGGATAGGCTCACTATGTAAGGGCCTACTAATAATTGGGCATTTGGGTTTAGGGTAGTAGTTCAGGGTTTTCTGGTTTAGGGTAGTAGTTTTGGTTCAGGGTTTAGGGTAGTAGCTTTAGTTTTTGGGGTCGTAGTTTTTGTAGGTTACTACTTGGGAGAGTATATGATACTTGGGCCTTGAAGGTAAGCCCTGAAGTCGAATCATCAGATCCCAAACCCGAGGCGCAGAAGCCATGAATCCCGGAAGCCCGTACCTTCCGTAATCGGTTGAGGGTTCAGGGTTTAGGGTTCAGGGTTTAGGGCTCTGGGTGCAGGGTTTAGTTGCTTTAGCTTTTAGGGCCAGTTTAGGGTCCAGGGTCCAGGGTTTAGGGTCCAGGGTTCAGGTTTTAGGCTCCAGTGTTTAGGGTCCAGGGTTTAGGGTTCAGGGTTACTGTAGGTTCGAACTTCGTAGGCCTTTGAACGAACCAAAAAAAAAGGGAACCCGAAGGCCGCAAACCTCAAGCTCCCAACTCCCAACATCCATACTTCTCGAGCTTCCATTGGGCTTTGGAGTATCATACTTTTTTTAGTTTTTTCTCTCTCCTAAGGTCCCTTGAAGGGTTCCATTATGGAACAAGAGTCCATCCTTCTTTCTCCCTGGTTACTTCAAAGCCAGCAACCCCCAAACTCGGCCAAATCCGTAGGAAGGGGATGAGTGTACTTGTAAACCCTAAACCCTAAGCCCTAAAGCCTAAACCCTAAACCCCTAAACCCCTAAACCCCTACACCCTAAACCCCTAAACCCTAAACCCCTAAACCCTAAACCCCCTAAACCCTAAACCTCCTGACTCTGGGGCTTTCTCACATTTTATGTAAGCGTACCGGCTGCCTCAGGAGAGGCATTTCGGATCGGATCACTGGGAGTTGCTCGGGCCTCGGTAGGATTTTCGGGCCTAGCGGTTAGGGCCCAGGTTTTTTGAATAGGGGTTAGGAGGTTTTAGGTTTCTGGGTTATACGGATTTTGGTTTGGGATGTTGATTTAGGGGTTATGTGATAGTCTGTAAAACCCTACCTGCGGGTCCTGATTGCTTATGATGCCCTAGTATATATGTCCGCACAAAGGGAAGGTAATTCGGGGTTCAGATAGGACTTCGGGTTACAGGGGCTTTTGGTTTGGGGTCGTGCCTTGTTTGGCGGTTTCGGAGTTTGGGTTTCTGTCTTGCATCTGCCGATTCCTTTCCGGTATAAGTATCGTACGTTTAGAGCTGATCCTGAAACCCTAAACCCTAAACCCTAAATGAGAGAAGCCAGAAATTCGAGGCCACACCCGGAGCCTGAATGAACGCAAGCCCGAAACCCCACAGCCCGAACCCTATTGTAATCTTATGCAAATCCTAAGCCCTAAACCCGAACCCTATGCTAGTCCAAAACCCAAACCCTATTGTAATCCTAAACTCTATACCGCCAGAATCCGAAAAGGAAAGGTCCAGAGAATGGGAGACGCCAAGTTTGCGGAGTCAAGCCCCCGGGAACCTTTTACCTTGATGGAGTTTACAGAATCCTACCCGTAGCAGCATTTAAATCAACCCTAAGGCCCTGAAACCCTAAAACCTACCTTAAACCCTACCCTAAACCCTTAACCCTAAAGCCTACCCTATATAAACCCTTAACCCTAAACCCTAGAGCCTTTTTGTTCGGGGCCTCGGAATCCAGCCCTTCAATCCGGATGAAACGAAGTCGCGAATCCGGATGCCCCAGCCACGAAGCAGAATGATGAGGGCTGAAGATTCGTCCTTCCTTTTAGGGTCTAGGGATTGTAATGGGGCTTAAGGCTTAGGGTGTACAGGGTTTAGGGTATACAAAAGGGGTTCGGGTTGAGGGTTTATAATGTGGCTTAGCGCTTAGGGTTTATAAGAGGGCTTGGGGTTTCAGTCCCGATTTACATCACCAGCGCAGGGAGAGCTACCATCTTCGCCAAGATTATGCCCTCAGTGCCCTTGCAGGTTTAGGGTTTAGGGTTTATAATGGGGCCTAGGGTTTTAGGGTTTAGGGTCTATATTGGGGTCTAGGGTTTAGGGTTTAGGGTTGTTAATGGGGCTGAGGGTTTAGGGTTTAGGGTGGCATGGAGAGTATCATCGGCACCGGCAGTACATGTTAAGTACTTGCAGAGAGAAGCAAGATTTACAGTGAAGAACCAGCACGACAGCAGCTTGTTTCGAACTGCCGTGGAAAGAGGTGCGAATATAAACATTGAACTACGGTTGATGATATAAATCCTGCATTACCTTAAGGACCCTAAACTATGGGAATTATGGTATATTCCTTACAATGGGTCATGCAGGATTTCTATCATCAGCCGTATGAGCCATCATTCGCCCGTTGTCACACATAGCTTGGCAACTCTAGGAAATTAGGTGTACTGTTGATTTCCCTGTTAAAATTATGGTCTTCGGAAGTAGTCCTTGGTCTTCAGGTCCAGGGGACATTGAACTTGAAGTCCATTTAGACGCCCTGGTTAGCCAGGTTTCCACCCAAAGACTTTCGATAACTCGAAACCGTAAAGCCCGCAAAAAAAAAACACGCCTTAAACCCTGAATGTTTAGGGTCGAGGATTCAGGGTTTTGGCCTTAAGCCCTAAGCCCTTTTAGGGTTTAGGGGTTTAGGGTTTAGGGGTTTAGGGTTTAGGTTATAAACATCTATAAAACTTGCCTAAAAGCTTTCCTTGCGCAGGCTGAGCTCACTGACGGGGCTAAGCATGGTCTACGACCGCATGCGGGACTTTCACAGGAAGAAGGCGGCACCTGAAAGGGGTGTGGGCTTGGGGCTTAGTAAGATGAGGCTCATAGGGTTTAGGGTTTTGGGCTCATAGGGTTTAGGGTTTAGGGCTTAGGGTTTAGGGCTTAGGGCTTAGGGTTTAGGGTAAAGGATTTATAGGTTTGGGGTTAGGGCACTTAGGGTGTTTGGGGCAGGGTTTAGGGCTTGTGGGGGTTTAGGTCTATGCGGGGTTTGGGGTTTAGGGTTTAAGGCTCAGGGTTTCTGACAGCCCTGCACCGAACCTGCCATAAGCACCAAACTCCCAATACTTAAACCGGAAAAGCCCGTTGTAACTCCCCTGAAGTGCCAAACTCCTAAATCAGTGCAGAAGCTCGTGGAGAAGGAAAAAGTACGCAGACAGAGAACATAAACTAGCATTGGGGGAACAAATCACGCCCAGGAGCTTCTGGAGCGCAACAGGGAGAAAGCAAAGCGTACTCTAGGGACCTTGAGAATTAGAGAGGGTCTTGGCTCCTTACTATTATTATTATTGTTATTACAAAAATTATAGTATAATAGACGCCAAAACCCTATTCTAATTATTAAGGCCGTGCATTACAACCCTAGCAGAGCCTCAAAGCCTCAGGCCTGAATCCCAACACCCTACACTCTGAAGCCCCAACGCCCCAACATCACTTTAAGATACATTCCCGTTGAAATGTAAATTCATGATGTGCCGTGCTTTACTATATAGGTCCGATTATATACATACATATCTGCGGTATATATGTATATACATATACAAAAATATAAATCTAAAAGGAATATATACAGATATGTATATGTACACAACAACATCTAGATATAAACATAAGGTATAGAAAACATGAGCGTACAAACACAACAACAAATACACACATCAAAGCAGCATACATATTAGTCTACATATAAATCTAAACAAAAACAATATACATGTACACACATATATATATATATATACATTTACCTTAACTGTTTGATTATCAATCGAACCCAACTTGATTCAATTTGCTCAGGAGCTCCTTGAGAAGTCCGTGAGCATCATGGAGCGAAGCTTCGGTTGTTGCCTCGGTGGTTTTGGGGTGTTTTTTGTTCCAGGGCATTTAGGGTTTAGGGTTCAGGGTTTAGGGTTTAGGGTGTGTATACATTTTGAGCGCGGTGGGTAATTAGGAAGAGCGCACCCGCTTATCGCGCGCTTGTGTCAGCAGGTAGTCCCGCAACCCCAACTATTCTCAACTAGGGTTTAGGGTTCACCCCGTCCAAACCCCCCTCAAGGGGGGCGTTCTTGCTTTTTGCTTCCCCTGGCAGTTCGGCGCATAAATGACCACATTCCACAGCAAACCACAGATGAGATGGACCAGTGTCGGGTTAGTAGGTGCTCGCGGCCCGTGCCGGCCTCTCGTCGAGAAGGAAGGGTTTCCAACAAACAACCAGCCCCTCGCATCCTGCCCGAAGTGTAATCACCTTGCCCGGATGTTTAGCAGGTCTTTGGGCTTAGGATTTAGGTTTCTAGACCCTATGGCCTATGGTGCTTGTTGCATGGGAAGTAGCAGAAAGAAAATAGCACTGGCGAGCGTACCGAAAGTACCACGCCTGTCACACGAATCAAGGCTTAACATAGGATTGAGAATCTACAGAAACGACCCGTCCTGTGACAAGACATGATGTGACCTGATAGGAGATGACATGCTATGATATGACATGACATGATATGATGTGACAGATCATGACATGAAAGGACATGTGATGACGTGATTTGGCATGTCACACGACAGGTTGCTTCAGTAGATTCTCAATCCTATGTTAAACCCTGTTTCGTGTGAGAGGCGGGGTACTTTCGGTATGTTTGCCAATGTTACTTTCAATAAACCAGTTCCTGCCTAAGCGCCTCATCATGATGCATCTTGAAACTCTGGACGTCATCCCCCCTCCCCCGGCGTGCAAAAACCATACCAACAGCCACAAGGCACTTCAGGTGTGACGAGTGGTTCGGCTGTTGTGAATATGCCCGCTCACGCTACAAGTCCACTAATGTTAACTCTTGATTAATA